ACCTTTCCCACCTCGGCCATACCGACCCCTGCTGCCTGGACGGGAGGGCACCTGCCTTTTACAAATCCTCGACCCTCTCGCTGTACCTGTAAGTCCCGCCTCAGACATTCCTCTCTCCTCTCTCGTGTGATCTTGGTCCCTCCATCGCTGCACCACCACACAACACCACTCTCTCTCGGTCTCTAATCACCACACAGCACTCTCTCTCTTTCACACACTCATCTGTTCTTCTTCTCTCTCTCTGCGCTCTTTCTCTCTCTCGCTTCAACACACACACACACACACAACAACACACACACACACACTCTCTCTCTCTTCGCTCTCTCTGTTTCTCTCTCGCTCCTCTCGCATACTCTTCTCTCTCTCGCACTTTCTCTTTCTCTCTCTCTCTCTTCTCTCTCCGTGCATTCTTTGCTCTCTCTCGCTTCTCTCACTCTCTCTCACTCTCTCTCTCCTCTCTCCGCTCGCTCGCTCTCTCGTCCCTCTCTCTCTCTATTGCTCTTCTCTCTCTCTCTCTCTCTCTCTCTCTCTTCTCTCGCTCTCTTCTCGTCCTTTGGCTCTCGTTCTCTTCTCTCTTTCTTTCTCTCTCTTCTCTCTTTTCTCGCGCACACTTTCTCTCTCGCTCTCTTCTCTCCGCGCGCTCTCTCTCTTTATTATAATTATTATCGGTTGTATTACATTACTTACGTTTTTTAGCTCTTCTGGTTTTGTCGGTTTCTTAATTTCTAGGTATACTATTACATTTCATATTTCATTCAAGTAATTTTTTTCGGATTATCGTCTACTTTTTCGCAATGACACAGTGGAATCATCTCAAGTTAAGGGATTGCCCATATCTGCCAAAAATGTTTCAAGCATCTTAAAAATTTAAATTAAATAATTAAAAATTTTGCATTTAGTTTCATGACTAGATGGAACATCTTTAGTTAGAAGAGAAGCTTAAGAATCTCTTTTGTTAGAAAAATTCCATGCTGTATTTGTTGAAAGAAACCACTTGTTCAAACAAAACAGGTCTCTTGAGCTAACAGATTCTATTTTGGCGCCTAACAATGCAGGATTCAAGGAAAAAGCGAGTAGCAGAAATCCACATTTAGTCAGTAAGAAATCACAATTCAGTAGCAGAGAATCCACATTTAGTAGCAAAATCCACTTTTGCTAGCCCTTCATTACTACTCCACACACCAACCTATCACGTCCAGCCTAAGGACAGAGAATCTATCAGACCATTTGTATCCATCATCAGTCATCATCACATCACCTTCTCCGGCGTAGTACCCCCTCCGACACCGCCCTACGTGCGAGCTAGTCAGTAGTAGTAGTAGCTAGTCCAGTCTACAATCCCGTAGATCTTCAGCTAGTTATATTAATCAGATAAAATCGCTAGTCAGTAGTAGTAGTAGTAGTAGTGGTAGTGTAGTCAGTAGTATGAGTAGTAGTAGTAGTAGTAGTACTGTTAGTTAGTAGTAGTAGTAGTGATAGTTAGTAGTAGTCAGTAGTAGTAGTGTAGTCCAGCTTAGTAGCCATTAGCCAGTAGCCAGTAAGCAGTAGCAGTAGCAGTGTTAGTAGTAGTTCAGTAGTATTACGTAAGTTAGTACGTAGTAGTGTAGTAGTAGTAGTAGAAGCAACAGCTCAAAAAATGCAATTCCTCCCAACTTTTGCATGCATATACATACGCGTACACAATGAATTTAGTAATATCGCACTTTTTATTTCACATGTATTTTGCAGGTTATATCCCAGATACTGCTTTGGTGGAGTCATAATTTACACTATGGAAGCTGTAAGAAAAATCGTCGAGGTTTCGCCATATCTTCCGTACTTCCACATCGATGACATGCATTTGACTGCTCACGTGGCGAAGGCTCTTAACATATATCCTCAGCAAAAAATTGTTTTGGACTTTGTCACTCCTCTAGAAAATCTCGATGAAACACGTGACGTGATCTATGAAGATACTGGTATCTTTACGAATCAGCGAATTACTTATACGATCTCGTTTATAAAAATGGCCATCTTCCTGTTTCACATGTACTCGACCATGTCACGTAGCAAAACTATTGTAAAATACAAGTTACAGTGTTAACATAGCAGATTTCCCGCGTGAACTATTATTATATTGATTGCTTCCGTCTGGAGGTTAATAATTTACTAAATTTTGCAACTAGGTAAAGTTATTTATTTAATTGTATTCTTAACTGCATCATGCATGAGAAGCCCTGTGATGTTATACATAAAGACGCTAACTATATATCTATCTATATACCCTATATATATATATACTATATATATAGATTTAACGTGTAGCCGGCTGTTTAAAATGTTAGTGGCTTATAATTTCTCTACCTTTTATTATGAAAGTTTAATAATTCATTCCCGGTTTCTTATTATGTAAATTATTCCTCCGCGTATCTAATCAAACGATATTTTTTATACAACTTGAACGAAAAAGCTGTGTTAACAAACACGTGGAGGATAACTTTCGCAGAAACATCATTGGAAACATGAAGCGTGTTCTTTATTCACTTAATTAATATACTATATACTATATGTATAGTATATACTAAATCATACTATATAATATTATACATGTACACTGTATATCACGGAACAGGCGTTACCACACCCGCCCACTCACGCTCACACGCACGCTAAACCACATCTATAAACATCCTATCTAACACCCATGAGCATCACGAGAATGCACAAGATTTGGCCGCTATAAGTGCAGTTGATATATTACCAACATCTGATATTATAGCAATTAAACCTACTTGTGCAAACATCCACGTGTAAATTAATCCCTCTTAGGAAGAACACCATCATCATTCCCAGGTCCACATTGTCCCGGCTGTAGTTTCCTGGATAGCATTCTCCCTCTACTTACATTAATTAATCGTAACCTCAGCTTCTATGAATGCTGCCGGGTTGGAGGCTTATGCCAGCTGTTTATGTCGCTAGTCATCAACGGAAAACTCCAGGCGAACTGCCATGGCAAACCTTGCGCATAGAACACACACGTTAATACTAGCAGCGTGAATGACCGGGCATCTCTCACTCTATAATCTGACACCGTAGTTTGAGTTATTGAAATCGTACCTTCCTTGCGCAACCTTTCACACATGCAACTCTTCACACACGCCAAACAATTTCATTGCCTGATTCATACTGTAGTATATCACTGACAATCACATAACCCTTTGATGACCGAAACTACACGCCATTCCATTTATTCATTATATGCAACTACAATGCAACAAAACCCCAAAGACGCTATCAGAATAAGTAGCAGAGCTTTCACAATACACTACCGATAAAACCAGCTGTCGGCCTATTTAGTTACGCGAACGTATTTCGAATCGCTCATGCGTATATTCCATGACTAATCGCAGTTTGCGTTCGAACCGAATTTCATCATTAACACGAAGCGGTTACTGGATAACTCGCAAATGTCAAGTTTGGATGAATTTTAGAATTTATGCACACTCCTCAAGCTATTATACATGAAAATCGAAAGCGCTGCACCACGGCTAGCAATTGCCGATCGCTTACTTATTTTTATGTCAACGATTAACAGCAAATATAAGCAAACGACAAACCACAATTGACCTATCTCATGATTCATCACGAAGAACGCATTAAAAGCAGATATTGGGAACAAAACGCGATTGGGCTAAAACGCCATTATGAACCATCGCAGCACCAATTACCTAATATAACAATAGAACAGGCGCGGTGGTGATGGGCCGTGTTCTAAGTGGTCACTCCCCCGTAGCATAGCTTGTGACATTTAGACAGTTTACGTAATGATCGCTACGGCAAATAGTGGGACGATAATGAATGACATATCGTCGCTGGGCGGCCTATATTTTTTGCCTATTGCAGTATTAATCGATAACAGCGTTCACGTGTACTTAGATTTCGATCCGCTTGCATCGATTGTTAGTTTTGATTCGCTGCCAGCCGACATTATGATTGACGACGGTAGATTTAGTGCCCGCGTTTACACTCATTTCGACCAAGACGATGAGGCATTTATCCGCTACCATCGCACTTAATCGTATGCCCCCCGCGGCTGCCGGCATAATTGCTGTCTCTTCGCTCTCCCTCTAACCTTGCGCTAGCGTTCCCTTTTGTCACTAGACATTTTAGCCGGCTCCGTCGAATCCCCCCCATCCACACCGCACACTCTCTCGCGATGTATGCGGAATTATGAAGACAATTGCGTAGCATGCAGATTCGACGTCCACCAGAATGCCGCGACTAATCTATATGACTTCTGCAAACGTCGATATTTACAGTCACGATAGTCGTGACGCACAGAGCGTGAATGCCCGGGAATGGTATCGGATTAGCCTATATTCAAAACGTTGTGACACTGGAGACATGCGGCCCCCGCCCTTATCGCGCGCAGCGTACAGCTCGCGGCGAAGCGCGCCCCCACAACGAATACGCCGCCGCCCTTTCTTGTCCATTTAGACAGATACCAGCAGCAACAGGAAATTGCATCCCACAAGGCCGCCGTAGTCAAGCCGCGTGTTACGTCTGGACGAGCAAACTGCGCGATGTTACGCTCATCCGCTATACGGTTTCACGCGCCCGCCCTCCTTTCGGCCGCGCTGAAATTCGGTATAGCGGGCAGCGCGAGAATCGCTACATGTTTACTGGAAGCAGGAGACCCGTCATAAACGCAACCACCCGCACACGTGGTATTCGAATTGCCACGTGTCGCTATTAATTACAAACGACGTCGATACTTATTCTCCGACAGTTTGCCAATTCCGAATTACAAACAGTCCTTTAATTCTTTCGACACGCGCAATTCGAATTACAACACGTCCTTAAAAAAAAAAAAAAAAAAAAAAAAAAATAATTAATAAAAAAAAAACTTAAAAATTTCTTTCGACATGTCGCGCAATTCGAATTACACACGTTCGTTATTCTTTCGACACGTTGTAATTTCCGAATGCGACGTGTCGAAAGAATTAATGACGTGTTGTAATTCGAATTGCGACGTGTTCTCGAAGACATTTAAGACGTGTTTATTCGAATTGGCAAACGTGTCGAATAATTAACGACGTGTTGTAATTCGACGCACGCGTCTTAAATGAATTTGTACAACGTGCTCGTTAATCGACCAATAGGGATTGTTCTTACCCCATGAAATTACACGTGTCGTTAAACCTCGCTCGCCACTACCTACCTCCTCCAATTCATCCGGGATCTCGCTCTTGATGAATTTACAACGTGTCGTTAAATCGGACCCATCCGCGTTTCCGAACGATACTCCTGCCACTTAGCTTCTCCGGTAAGTACCGGCGATATTAGGCCAGCCCATGGGGAAGGGAGGGGGAGGCGGAAGCGAGAGCGCTGGGAGGGAGGAGGAAGTTTAGGGAGTAAGTAATAGTAGGTGGAGACGCGAGAAGGGGAGAAGAGAGAATTGGTGTGAAAGGGGGAGAAGCTGGTGAGACGGAGGGAGGGAGAGGAAGTTGGTGTGAGAAGGAGCAGGGAGAAGCTGGTAAAGGAAGGGAGAAGCTGGTGGTAGGAGGAAGGGGAGAAGGGACAACGTTTGGTCGCTCGGGCCGCGCGGGGGACGCAGGGCCCGGCCCACCAGGCAGGGGTGCATAAGCCTGTGGGAGAAGGAGGAAGGGAGAAGGAGGCGCGGAGATGTGGCAGCTGGTGGAGGGGAGGGGCGAGAAGAGCGAGAAGCCTGGTGGAGAATGGAGGAGGGAAGAAGTGGTGGAGATGGAGGGCGGGAATGTTAGCTGGTGGAGGGCAGAGGGGGAGTAAGCGGAGAAGCCTGGTGGCAAGGAATGCGAGTCGGAGGGCGGAGAAGCTGGGTTGTGGAATTGGGAAGGGGAAGAAGGGACCGAGCTTGGGAGGAGGGGGAGAAGGCTGGTGGAGTTTTAGAGGAGCGGGGCAGAAGCTGATTGGAGGAGGAGGGGAGAAGCTGGCTGGAGAAAGAGGAAGAGGCGAGAAGGAGGGGGAGTAAGGAGGGGCACGAAGATGGTGGAGAATCGCGTGAGTGGAGAAGCGAGCAAGACTGGTGGAGAAGGAGAAGCTGGTGGAGGAGGAAGGGGAGAAGGGGAAAGGTTTGAGGAGGAACGGGGATGAAGACCAACGAGCTGTGGAGGAGGAGGGGGAGAGGCCGAGAAGCTGGTGGCCGAATGAGGAAAGCGTGGAGAAGGGAGAAGCTGGTGGAGAAAGGAGAAGCTTCCTCCCCCTCCTCACCAGTTTCTCCCTTCTCCCCTTCCTCACTTCTCCACAGGCTTCGTTCCCCTCCTCCTTCTTCCACAGTTCTTCCCTTCCCCTTCCTCCTCACCCAGCTCCATTCTCCCCTCCTTCCTCCACCAGCTTCTCCCTTCTCCCTTGCTCCGCCAGCTTCTCCCTCGCCTCCTTCTCTCACCACCTTCTCCCTTCTCCCCTTGCCTTGCTCATTCATTCTCCGACCCGAGCTCTTCCCCTCCTCCACCACCTTCTCCCTTCTCCTTCCTTCCTCTCACCAGCTTCTTTCCCTTCTCGGCACCAGCTTTCTCCCCCTCCTCCCCACCTCTTCTACCTTCTCCCTTCCTCCTCCACCAGCTTCTTCTTTCTCACAGCCTTTCTCCTTCTTCCCCTTCCCATTCTCACCAGCTTCCCTCCTCATCCTTCTCTAACAGTCCTTCTCTCTTCTCCCCCTCCTTCCTCCACCAGCTCCCTTCTCCCGCCTGCCTTCTCCCCTTCCCTCCTTCCTCCACAGCTTCTCCCCTCCTTCTCCTCACCAGCTTCCTTTCCCTCCAACGCTTCTCCCCTTTGCCTCCCTTCTCCACCCCAGCTTCTCCCCTTCTCCATATTCATCCAGCTTCTCCCCTCCTCCACCAGCTTCTCTTCTCCCCTTTCTCATTCTCCCCCAGCTTCTCCCCCTTCCTTCCTTCTCACCAGCTTCTCCTTCTCCCTATCCTCCTCCACCACGCTCCTTCTCCCCCTCCTTTCCACAGCTTCTCCCCCTCTCCTTCTCCACCAGCTTTCTCCTTCTCCCCTCCCTCCTCACCAGCTTCGCATTCTCCCCCTGCTATCTCCCCTGCCCTCCTTCACCACCAGCTTCTCCCTCATCCTTTACGGTCCACATTCGTCTCCCCTCCTCCACCACCTTGTACCCTTCTCCCTTCCTCCTCCACCAGCTTCGTCCCTTCTCCACCAGCTTCTCCGTTCCCCTTCTCCTCGTCCACCAAACTTCTCCCCGCTCTCCGTTTCTCCACCAGTCTTTCCCTTCCTTCCAGCCACCTGATCTCTCTCTCCCCTTCCTTCCTCCACCAGGCTTCTCGTCTGTCTCCACCTCACTAGTACTACTCTAAATTCTTCTCCCTTTCCCCTCCCCCTCCCTTCACCTGCTCCTTCGCTACCCTCGCTTACCAGGCAACTGTCAGAGTATCTTCCAACCGACTTGATGTGTCGATTTTAAACGACAGCGTTGTAATTCATTGTAAGACAGCCCTATTGGTCGATTTAACGACACGTCTGTATTCCATTTAAGACGCGTCCGGAATCGAATTACAACACGTCGGTTAATTCTTTTCGACACGTTCTGCAATTCAATTACAAACACGTCCTTATATTCTTTCGGACACGTTGGGCAATCTCGAATTACAACACGTCCTTAATTTCTTTCGACACGTCTCGCCAATTCGAATTACACACGGCCCTATTGGTCGATTTAACGACACGTTGTAATTCGAATTGCGACGTGTCGAAAGAATTAAGGACGTGTTGTAATTCGAATTGCGACGTGTCGAAAGAATTAAGGACGTGTTGTAATTCGAATTGCAACGTGTCGGAAATATTATCGACGTGTTGTAATTAAATAGCGACACGTGGCAATTCGAATTACAACGTGTCGGAAATATTATCGACGTGTTGTAATTAAATAGCGACACGTGGCAATTCGAATTACCACGTGTCGGGTGGTTGCGTTTATGACGGGTTCCTGCTTCCATAACATGTGTACAACACCCTGCGGTCGCGTGCGCCCAGTCCCGCGGAAGTGCGCGGCTTAACCGCTCTCGGCGGTCGGGTAACAACGCATCTTTTGCGCAACGCCATCTTGTACACGGTCTCTCTGGATATACAGATGAGATTCGATGAATAAAGCCTTTGTTATTATGACGCGGGTATACACGCACACGCGTATAGAGAGCATTCATGTCTGTAACAGCTACCGACTATAGTTAGCTCGAGAATCACTGATGCCGGATAGATATAGACATTATGGTGAATATAGGCTAGGCGAATCGTGAGGAAAATAACCGAATGTTTATCCAAAACATTTAAATAATTTCAGCTTTAACATTCTTTTGCTAACGCCCATAGTGCATCGAGCACGCATACCTCTACGTTCGTAGTTTTATAATCGGGATGCATTGGCAACCATGTATCGTTGCTCGTAGAGAAGTTGGCTGCTGGATCAGAGGAATCCCACTGCATTGGGGTTCTCTCTGGATCTCTAGAAAATTCCTGGTACCGATCCTTCACAAACAAACCAAAAAACACGCTAATTTTGTTTCCTATGGTTGGGTTTATAATAGCTCTGTGTTCTCTATGAAACAGTGAACTCAGCCAAGTTCGACGCAGCACTCAAACATATGCTACCCAATTTAATTATAATAGGATTTTCTATATTAACTACATAATCAGAAATAACAATGACAAAATTTCTAACTCTAAAAACTCTAAATTTCTTTCTTCTTTCTAATTTCCGAATCGGAATGCAGTATACAACTCACTGGTCCGAAATTTAACCCATATGGGTCTCTGGTCTCATTGAATGTGATGTTGCCATGGTCGAGCATGCCAATCTCCTCGCCATAGTACGTTGTCGGTGTTCCCGGTAGGAGTAGCAAGAGGGCGTTCATAGCATTAACATATGCTTCTCCCATTCTCGTTGCAATTCTATGATTGTCATGGTTCCCTAAAACCCAGTTCGGCCACCGACTTGTCGTTCCCATTTGATTTATCCAGCCATCTATCCGTTCTTTTATGCAGTAGCCAGTATGACAGGCTTCATCAATAGGAATCAACTCAAAATTGAACGACATATCAGCGACGTCGTAATATTTCGTCATAGTCTCCAAGTCGGTGTACGCTTCGGCGACACTGAAACTGCCATATAGAAAAGACTATGTATGTATGTAGGTATTATACGTATGTATGTATATGTATGTGTGTGTGTGTGTGTGTGTGTGTGTGTGTGTGTGTGTGTGTGTGTGTGTGTGTGTGTGTGTGTGTGTGTGTGTGTGTGTGTGTGTGTGTGTGTGTGTGTGTGTGTGTGTGTGTGTGTGTGTGTGTGTGTGTGTGTGTGTGTCGTGTG